GGTACCAGGAGTCAGACTCAGGACCTTTCACTTGCCAGGCAGGTTCTTGTGCCGCTGAACTACATCCCTGGCCCACTACAGTACACTTTCTACAGTCTTGCCTCCTGGAAATGTTTCTGACGATTATGCCACTCCATCAGCCACTCTAATTAACTTGACCAAGAGGCTAGGACCAAACCAATGTGTCTCACACAGCATTTAAGTAAGCCTACTGCCAATAGGACTCTGTCCAGCAAGATGAGGTACCTACCGCAGTATTGCTCTCAGACATAGTGCCCAGGGCCCTACATTCAACCAGTTTAACAACCCACCCACCATTAGCCAGAGCGGGAGAGAGGAAGAGAAGGAGAAAGGGAGAGAGGGAGAGAAAGGTGAAAATGAGGGGCCTACAGTCAAAAGTCTATTGAAATTGATTTCCAAAGAAGTCATTTCAGTGTTCAGCAATGTCAGATGGCTCTGAATTCTATGTATGAAATGTCCACTGAATGCCTTCAGTATTTGGTTACCTTTTTTAATATACACACACCAATAAATAAATAAATATAAATATAAATATACACACACCAAGCTACAAATGGTTCAGAAAGCCAAATGTCTGACACAGACTAGATTCAAGAGCCACAATAATATGACTGGAACCTTTTTGTAATCCAACGACCAGCAGTAGTAAAGGTAGAAGGCATAGCCCTGAAAAGAAGTCAAACATCTGACGTCATTTTGCCCGGAGCAAGTTGGAGGGAGGTGGAGGTGCTGGCTCAGGCTATGTGGTCATCTCAGCACAACACTTTTTCCCTCCTTGCTTGCAGGAATCTTCCACATGACCACAGGGCCCCTTACTTTAGGCCAGCACTGCAGTGGAGGCTGTACTGCTATATCCAGAGTGGTGATGGATCCAGCAGCAATAACTTGAGAAGAGCCTCAGATTCTGCACAGCAAATGGAGAAAACACACCCACATTTGACTCAGTCAGAAGAGCTGGTGCCATGGCTACAGCTCAGTAGACACCAGCAGGATGAAGCTTCCGACCCACCACCAAACTGTGCGCCAGCGCTTACCATAACCTTTGCAAACTGAGCTTCCCAGTGACCAGCAGTGTTGCTCTAGGCAGAAGTCAGCCCGTGACAGGTTCCCAGGGGACAGCAGCCCCTTTTGCATGTAAAACTGATGATGCTACTGGTCAGTGCAATTCTAATATCCCATCACCCCAAGGAAAAGCTGGCTCCTTGTGTGATCACAGTTCATGGAGCCAGAAAAAGTCAATCTCTGGGGCCTGATAGCTCAGTGCCACAAATGCCTGCCTGGAAAGCACTTATGGCACTGATTCAATCCCCAGTACAAAAAAAAAAAAAAGTCAATCTCTCTTCTGCATGTTTCCCCCAGTATCCTCAGGAGGGTGTGAACTCAAGGCTAGCCTGAACTGCATAACTAGACCCTGTCTCAGAAAGACAAAAAAGGAGGAAAAAACCCAAATTTTTAAAAGGGTTGCAGAGGATGCACTCAGCACAGCTCTGAGAGGAAATTTGGGCTTTGTGTTCATTTAGTTTCAAATGTTCACTCCCTCCTAGCTCACCTGAAAGAGCTGCCAAGATTTTCGGAAGACCCAAAGATCTGTACTACATAGCACGCTCCTCACTGCTGACACTTTCGGCTTTGGGGATTCCTTGGCCACAGCCAGAGTCCTTAGTCTTGGCTGTGGAGCCCACTGTCCCAGGGCCATAGATTCCCTTCTCATACTACTTGGAGGAGTGTGACCACCGGCTAAGGCCCACTGACTGTCTCTTTCCTATTTCTCACTGCACAGCCTGTTCTTCATCACCTACAGACAAAAGCCCTCACTACTGAATCCCAAGGAGCTATCTCACCCCCAAGGCTGAGACATTATCCTCCCTCTCCCAAAGGTCTTAATTAGGCAGCATCCCATCCTTGTCGCCCCAACTAAGAACTGTGAAGGCTCTGAAATTTCACTCTATTTGCAAGCTACCAAATTAACTTGACAGTTTTATAGACCCTGGCAGGAAGCAGAAGATTCTGAGATCAAAGACAAAGGACTTTACTATTCATAGCAATAGATGCAGTATGGAGATTTATTATTGTTGTTCTAGTAACCTATCACACAGTCATCAGGCCCACAAACTCCCAAACAACTGGGCAACAGATTGAAATAAGAGAAACAGGTAGTATGATTTTTAGGGCTCCAGGAGGATCAAAATCCTCTAATAGAATTTGATATTCCCTTGGGGTTGAGACAAAGAGCTCCAGGTAGCCCATATTCATTTGGTTTTCAAACAAAGGGGATCCTAGGAAAGTGCAGGAACTGAGCAGAACCTCAGCAGTCAGTTCAGACTTCTCCAAGTAGTAAATTTTGCCAATTAGGAAAACTGTAAGAAGATTGGTCACTTTATTGTTCTGGTGTCAGCAGCCCATGTCCTTGGCTGCCTCGGCTGTAGTTGACTTCAGAGTACCAGGTATATACTCTTTTCCAGCACAGTCAGAAGTCCTCGCGTTCAGCAACTTCACCCTATACAGTGCAGTCTACAACAGTTGTCAACCTCAATTTCTGGCACTGTAGAGAGCCAGGTGCTGCCAGGGTAGGCAGTGGATCCCTCTACAGGAGAGGAACCCTGAGCACAGGGAACCTAAAGCCATAACGCCCTTCACTCCAGGTGCGCCTCTGTTTTCCCTTTGCTCTGCGGGGAGAGGCTACGGATGGCTCCATCTTCTCTCAATCTTCTATTTTCTCTCCTTGTCTTTAAAAAATCATCCCAGGATTAAGGCAGTCATTTCTTTCCTAGCAAGAAACATATAAAGACAAGTAGGCCACAGAGAACTGTCTAATAAATACTTTAAAAAAGAAAGTAGAAATTATCACTCTACTTGTTAGTTATGAGCAAACACACCATACGTTTGTGGTTGGTGAGAATATACTTTCTGGGTCACTTCTCAATGGATGTGCTCTATTCCTCTGATTCTCAAGATTTTCTGGAAAAGAAAAAAAAAAAGATTTTCTGTAAGGCCAAACTCATCTTCCATATATCTTACATGCCAGTGCTCATAAAATAATCAACTATATAACAGTAATTTAATGAATTTCAATAAAAAGTGAGGATGAATTGAAGATTTCTAAGTAGGGGGTCAGGTAGGTAATCTAGATACCCATGTATTAAAGTAGTAATTCTTATCTTTCTCTGTCTCCAACTCACCATGGGGATATTAGACAGCCAGGAGTGGTGTGTACTCCTACAATCCCAGCATTCAGGAAGATGAGACAGGAGGATCACTGTGAGTCTAAGGCCAGCCTTAACTACACAGCGAGATCCAAACAAATAAACAACACAAAAGATACCCACTTCCTTATGGAGAGGGGGACAGTGGAGGAATAACAAATTTGAGTATTAATGAACAGATGCAAAGTAAAATGCTCATATTCCTTATCTTGATTCAGAGTATCACATCTTACTGCAACAGGAGAGTATGCACATAGCTCACCTATAATCACATCCAATTTTTAACTACTTCAAAATTGGGTGACTAGATACTATCCTCACCATGCCAGTCTAGAGTCTTTAAAGATATGAAGGTTTTCTATATTACTTGAGACCTCTGGATTAGAAACCACCTCAGAAATACACAGTGGTCCCTCAGAGGCTATGTTCCTGACACCACTGTGATAAGAGAAAATCAGTAACCTCTTCTTTTCTTCTTCCAGTTCCAGGAGCTTGTTAGGCGCAGTTTAAAGTGCAATTATGGCCAAGTCCAAGAACCACACTATGCACAACCAGTCCTAGAAATGGCACAGAAATGGCTGCAAGAAACCTTGGTCACAAAGATGTGAATCTGTGAAGAGGGCAGATCCCAAGTTCTTTAAGAACATGCGTTTTGCCAAGAAACACAACAAGAAGGGCTTCAGGAAGATACAAGCAAATAATGCCAAGGCCATGAGTGCATGCGCCGAGGCTACCAAGGCCCTCTTCGAGCCCAAGGAGGTTAAGCCCAAGATCATTCCAAAGGGAGTAAGCCTCAGGCTCACTTGACTTGCTTATATTGCCCACCCCAAGCTTGGGAAGGGTATCTGTGCCCACATTGCCATGGGTCACAGGACTAGCCAGCCCAAGGTCCAGGCTTCAGGCAAGCCCCGGGCTCCAGCTTCTACTCCAGCCCAGGCTCCCAAAGGTGCTCAGGCACCCATAAAGGCTCCACAGTGCAAGCCTCTTATCTGCTGACACAAAATCAGAAGGACTGGTGTGACTCCTGGGGTGCCATCTGTGGGGGGCTGGTGTCCTCCTGTGCTCTTTGTACAAAAAAACCTGAGACAGGATAAAAAAAGAGAATATCAGCGAAGTATCAATGTTATATTTATCTTAGCATTTATATATATTTTAAGGCTTTATAAACCCTTCACACATTTAAAAATACTTCTAATATATTTTTTAATTGTTATTTGGTACAGACCATGCTTGGTTGTAGGGCCGGCATGGCACATGGTAGTGGGCATTGAACTTGGGTCCTTGTGCTTGCCAAGCAGGCACTTAGAC